ACTGCTCCATCATATTTGTAGTATTTCTATAAAGTTGTATTTGTATGGTTTTGTCTTAAGGTAAAGGAAACACTGAAATCTACCTTGTATTAAATGTTGGTATTTGTTGAATATTTTCTATCATAATGACATAAAAAAAAATCAGCAATTGACGCAAGATCTAATTTAGTTTTATTCTTAAGACAAGCATGGTTACTTTATATGTTATGCAGAATACTGTTAAATTAGTCTAGTTTTATTTCATGCCTTTGATCATCGTATTATTTTTAACAAATGTAAGTGAAGCTTTTCCTTGTCCAGTTTTCTTGATCTTGATTGAATAAAATGTAATGTATTGTTAAAATCAAAATGTTTTCCTTTACTCTCTCAATAGCATATGAATGTTGTCTAAATTGTACCTGAATAGTACTGCTGTTGGTCCCTGTGGCCTAAAACGTACATTACAGGACCATCCAAATGGATGTCATATCCAAAATTTTCCTTCCTAATCTCTTTTCTGTCATTTTGAATTCTGTCTGCATGTACTCTTTTTTTCAACTTGTTTTATTGAATGTTGATTCCATCAATCCCTTATGTTCAGAACTCACCAATGAAGCAGCCCCTTTGTTCATGAGACTCATAAAGATACAACTCATAAAGATACAACTCATAAAGATACAACTCATAAAGATACAACTCATAAAGATAAATATTTGTTCAATTACCAAATGATTATGTTACAATAAAACTTTCGTGAATGTTGATCAGTTCATCTTGTCAGAATCCTGAGAAGCATTTGACAACATGTCATTGTTAACATCCTGTGCGTTTGAATCAAATTGAAGTATTTTGTGGTTGAAATTCTTAAAGAATAAATAATCAACTGCTCTTCTCACATATTCATTTCTAGTCTGGCCAAGATATTTTTTCATTCAGTTCAAAACATAAGCATAAACAGTCCACTATTTTATTAGGGTAGAATGAACAGAAATTTAAACTAAACAAGCTAGACTTATTCTGTCCATTACTATTACTTACACTACCTAAATATAAAGTGGATTGATTGAGCTGCTGTTTTGAAAGAGACTCAGATAAAATGTCTTTTTTCGACGTTACCATTGTCTTTTGTTAATATCTTGATTTGAATACTAATTGTTTCTAAGTTGGTCACAATTCGTTATATATCTATCAAATACAATTCACTGTTAGGCCTATAATTTGAGGACTTTTCCCTTACAAAATTCCAACTGATTATGATAATTGTATTCATGACAACTTATGCCTTAAGAACTAATGATAGCATTTGTTATGATTTGAAGTGTTCTCTGATGTGTTTGGTTATTTTTTGGCTCCAAAAACGGGTGGATTTATAAACCTATTTTATTAATCACAGGCTACCTAGTTAAATATTTAGAGCACTTAGCATTTAGATCATCTATGGAGTTGCTTCCCTTGGCTGTATACCAATGCAACCTGGTTTCTAAGGGACATTAATTTTGGTTATCTGAATGTGGTCAGACACTACCAGCAAATAATGTTATATAATCCTTTCTATAGGCAGTGTATCTGAAGCTAAAGCACTGAATGATTGACATAAGCATTCGAAGCATTATGTCTATATTGTACTCACTTATGCTACATACTATCATTCATTACCCAGGAATGGGTTCTATTCAGCAAGAAACTAAAAGACTGAAGAAGCATAAATTAATAATAATGTGTTGCATACATGATTTTATACATATCTGTATTAATAAACTAAAACAAGCACAGTCCACTTTATACACTTAATTTAAAGTAGAAATTGTTGTAATAAACAAGCAGACCTATCCTGTATAGTTACACTTACCCTTTATTCTACCCAGGAATTGCTTGTCTTGTGTAAATGTCCTTGCCTTTGATAAATGATAAATGAAGGCTTCGTAATTCCTTATCTGATATATAATTGAGATATTGTTTCTCTGTTTAATTATTGTAAGTTTTAAGTTGAATGTTGTTAACTTAGATCTTTTTTCCTTTTTGCCTCCATGTCAATAATGATTAGAATAAGTAGGCCTAATAAAATTTTGTCATTAATTCTGTCTTATTCATTAACCCATCTAGTTTTTATGGAGCCTCATCTCTTAAGGTATAGACCATTTTGATCCTAGTAAACTTCGATTTTACCAAACACAATCTGCTAACTAGTTGGTCATGATAATTTCAACTGTTAACTGAGCCCATCCATATCCTATAACAAACTCTAATCCACAATGAATTACATCAAAGAGGTACCGAAAATGCCCCGTCGTAATTTGAGATTTTCACGGAATATTCATGGCTCCCGTGACCTGTCAAGTAGTAGAGACTGCCATCTACATCAGCAATCGAAGTGTATGTGAGAACTAAGCCCTAAAAGTGACATAGAGTGTTAAAGAATGTCCTGCCTTCCAATATAGTCCCGCTAAAGAATTATATTTTTAAGCAAATTGATAGACTGATTATATCGTATATATTATGGTTTACATAGTTGTTCAACTTTTAAGATGAACTATATTCCAACAAAATTGAAACCATGTGTATTCTCGGGTAATGTGAAATAAGAGATGAATCTTATCTTTATGTTACATTGTGTCCGGGATCAAGTCGATATGTTGAAGGGTCAGAGAGAGGAAAGTGACTAACTAGAATACAATACCGTCACAATTCCGATTCAACGATGGAGTGTCGATGTTTTATTCTATTCATCTTCAGTAGTATTATTCTTACAAAATGTTATGCAACTGCCAGGTAGGCTGATAATGATTTTGAATTTTTTACCACTCGCATGCCTTTATAAAATCGTAGTTTGGAAATATTTAGAAAGAATTAGAAAATAATAGTACAATATAATGTTGATGGCTGCACTTCCGACCATTGCATGCATGTGTGTGAACGTGCCAAGGGTAGGCTGACTCGAAAAGCACGTATCGAAAATTGGCCTACTTTGTACATTGTGATTTGCTTAGGCACGCGACAAGATTCAGATTATGCCAGAAAATAGAATATTATCAACCTGAAGCAGTTGGCAATATCTGTGATTTTTTAGCCATTGTTGCGTTCAGACGACTTATTCCAGCGATTGACCAGATTCTCAGATACTATCTTCGGTCATTAGCTTTGCCAGCCTTTGGCTCAATGGTGGGACAAATTATCGAACCTGAATTCCAAATGCGGCAACTCTGCTGAGGGTCATAGTCGCAAGCCTCTCAAAACGTTAACTGATTTGTGAATTCTGACGTACAATGTGGATCAAAAAAGTAAAAAATAGTGGGGGTACAATATTTGGAGTGCAAACCATTTTACTATGTGCTGTTATTTCATGTCCGAGATTTTCCGAAGCTTGTTAACCTTTTGATAGTAATTGTCAACAGGTCGAACTCCCGTTTAAGAATTCAGAGAAGATTCTATGTTTTATTATGACTTTTGTTTTAGATTCACTTATGTTCTGAGTGCTCCAAAACAATTTCGTGTTGATACGGACAATCTAGTTGTTATATCTACCAAAGATATCCATGATCATAATTCACAGAGTTTTGAACTGACAATACAATGTGGTGGTTATCTACAGAAAGAGAAACTTGTTTTCAATAAAGGTAGGTTTTAAAGTGAAATGATCCTTAGTGTGTCTCGGTGGCTGGAGGTTATTTGCAGCTTCATTTTATGAAATATGCAGCAGACCTATTATAAACGGAACCAAAAATAATGTCTGCTGATCATGGATATTTAGAATTGACACCACCGAAAAAACACCGATATCAAGAAATCGTATTTATAACGCATTTACTTCCGGAAATTGACCTCTACTTAATGAACTTATAGTGTCTTATTTCAGAAAAGAGTTGAAACACAGTTAACAATTCATAATATTTATTGAAACAACTTTACATTATAATATAATTTTTAGTGAGATTATTTTCTTATTTGTTTGTCACAGCTAAGAGTGTGAAAATTATACACCAATTAAATTTCCGAAACCGTATTTATAAAGGCATTAACCTCCGGAAATTGACCATTACTTAATCAACTGATAGTCTCTTAGTTTGGAAAGGGATAATTCACTTTATTTTCTAATGACTTCTGGAGAAAAAAATTCCCGAGTTACCCAAACCCTTTGTCTTGAAATAAGTTACATTGCAACACACTCTACCTTTCAGATGGACTACAGACTGTTAACATCTTTATTCCGTCCTCAAAAGTCCCTCCATCTGTACAAGATGTAACCATGGAACTTGTGAGTGGGGAAGAACATCGAGGAGAGACCATCCCTCTGATTAAATCTAGTGGTTTTATCTTTATACAGACGGACAAACCCATCTATTCACCCCGAGACATTGGTAATCTTTTATTTTATTATCTCCCTTTGGTATGATCTTTTTGATAAGGTAATTGTCAAAGGCTATTCACTGGAGAAAATATCAGGAAATTTCCAAATGTCATGAACCAGATTGCAAGTAATTTAAACACAGAGAGCTGCCTTTGTGTCAATTATTAACACTTTACTGAAAGTCGCGTAGGGAATTCTGTAGCGCTATCCAAGTTATTATAATATATATATTCAACACATACATGTAACTGACACTTCCAAAGCTTAGTTACCGTTTCCGTACCGCTAAAGCATGATGGTTTCATTGTGTCTCAGATATCCTTAATTCTAATATTTTTTTATTATTACGAAACTGGTTATAATATATTTTACGAGCTTTTGTTGGTAAATACCAGCGAGTTCTGAATTACATGTATTGTGGTTTCTGTAAATTATGATTTTCAGTGAAATTTCGAGTATTGGCTATAAATGAAGATCAGAGCCCATCTACCAGTAAAGTAACTGTTGATATCACTGTAAGTATTCTTTTAGCTCCAACCAAGACCGATGTGATACTGATACTGTTTATTCCGCCAACATAGTTCGAGAAAGTGTCTTTGCATCTAGGTTTAGGAGGACGGGCGGTTGGAGCGTTAGAATTCTGCCAGATTTTATACTCGACAGACAAATGAAAAATGGTGCCCTTGAACAAATCATGTTTCCTCATTATTCCAGTTGACCCAGTTTTAAATGGGTAGGGATAGGCTGATCCAGGAAAGACCAATACGAAGAATTTAACCAAAGGACCAGCTGGTAGATGGATCTTCATTATATCCATAATCTTTCTATCCTTGTACAAAAATTAATTTTTTATGAAGTAGGATGAAGGACACAAGGAATAAACAAAGCCTCAGTGTGTTGCAGGCTATCTGCGTTACAAGATTCTCTTGTCTGTAATGGTCACGCACAACCTAAAACGATTATCTTCAATTTATCTTCCTTTCATTGTTATTTTTCCTTTTATAGAATCCTAGTGGTATTATTTTGGACCGAATGACGTATGAGGGTCAAGATGCATTTAAAAAGAAAGAGTTTCACCTACCTACAGAAGCTGATTTAGGTTTATGGAATATAACTGCTGCTTTTGGAAAGGTGTGGGACATCTACAAAACAGTCAATCTGTTAAAACATCCACACTGGTCCTGCAAACGAGAGCTATCGTCTATATTATGTTTTCGAACAACGCCAGAAAAATCACTTAAATACAATAGGCTATATGATATTTACTGTCAACTGTTGCACTATTCGATTTTCTTTTTCCCCGAACATAGCTTGACACATAAATTGTAAAATTTTTTTTTTTTTTTGCTTGCAGGATACAAAAGTCTCTGTTGCGGAATTCGAGGTGAAGGAATATGGTAAGCAATCTGTAATATGTCGTAACTTTGAAAGCATCAGGTGAAAAATGCAATTTCCGAAATATTTTTGACCTTACCTACATGTCGCGGTTCCAAAGGCTTTTAACTTTTATCATGTGATTAATCATTGTGACTATAATAGAAACTGCAAGTCTATTAGTAGCAGGTCTAAATCCCTGTTCATCTTATACTTCAGTGTTACCTACATTTGGTGTAACTATAAAACCACGAGAGAAGATAATTAATAAAACTATGGATTATGTTAATATTGATGTCGAAGCAAGGTAATCTTTGATTTGAATTTCGGATGACCGGACATACGACTCATTTTGAATCCTAATTATTGCTTATAAACGTAGAACAAATATCTTGAACTTTAAGTCAGACATTCAGTCCACCTATGAAAGGTGTTGAGTTTTTCTATTCCTGTGATAGAAGGTATTCATTGCATGTTATCTTTCAGATATTCCTATACAATCCGGGGTGTTAAAGGAAAATGTACCTTAAGATTGGGATATATAGATGATGATCAGATAATTCTCTTTAAGAAAACACATAGATCGGTAAATATCTGTTATACTGTTTAAAACTCTTCTAATACGCATACTTCAACTGTGTTGCTGGGGAAATCTTGTAGGACATTAATTGATGACATAGCTTTCTGCGTATACTTATTTATACTCAGGGAAATTAACATCTTATAATGTCGATGGTTTAGTTAACATGTGACTAACACTGTCTGGTTGGGGCCAAATGCAACGTGTTGTTGCAGAAGTCTTAAAAGATTCGTGGCGTTGATGGAGAAACCATGACCAAATGGTTCAGTGTAAAACGTTACCAGAAATTGTTTAGTTACGACCATCTTGTAACCTAGCTCTCTATTTGTTTCAGAAACTGAAATTGAGTGGAAGCGCATCATTCCAGATTCCAATGATGAGTATTTTAAGATCGCATAGTTTCCCTCCACATGGTACACCATTGTTTATAGAAGTCAATGTAACCGAGAGAGTCACCAAGATCCAGGAAACCGGGGTTGATATGACGTCAGTGTTTGCTTCTGATCCACATAAGATAGAATTTTCCTCGTCAAAGGGTTATTTTATACCTGACTATCCATACCAATTAAAGGTAAGTATTTTGTGTCTTTTACACTTCCACATCCTAGATAACGAGCACCTGCCATTCACAGAATGCATCAGAAAAATATATCTTGTGGACAAAATGAACATCGAGTCAGTTTGACTGAAATGGACAAAGTGTTCATGTTTTTTCTCAGGAACCACCCTGGCATTAAAATTAGCCTTTACTGTGTGTAATATCAACTTATAATATGAAAAATGTACCCTCTTCTATTCACACTGGTAAGTAGAGGAAACCATTTCCTTGACATTAGATAAGAATATGACTGTATTTATTTTAAGATAGATGTATTAGATGCAGTTAATCGACCAGTTTCTGGCACGAATGTCAACATCATTTTACTGGCTGGTGATCAGCAGACAGGTAAGTTATCACCACTGAATGCACTTTATTTCATTCGTTTTATGGGCCATCTGGAAGGGGGTATTGAATTGAGTTCTCAAGGAAAAATGTGCTATGCCTCGATACACAATACAGTAATCATAGAGTGGGCAAGTTTTTGAATAAACCTTTTCGCATGTAATCGAAATAATTTGAATTTATAACATATGAAAACGATGTGTGATTTGAGTTTCTCAAGATAACCTCCATTAGAAAAGGCTTTTAATTAAAATATATTATTTTTCTAAAGCTTTGATGTCCAATCGTTGTAACTTGTGTCATAACTTTACTCAGTCCGGTAATCTGGTACCAATCTTTTTTTTAGTGGAAATGGATCGAAACCTCAATTAAAATCACATACGTCTGAATCCCTAACATATTGTTTTTAACAATATCTCTTTGCACCCAAGTACCACGAACGGGGTTAAATCTAGCCATCATCGAGAATCGAAAAGCTGTTGTGTGATTTTCTTTCAGATTCATTTGAAACACAAACTGACCACAATGGACGTTGTACTTGGGTTTTAAATAAATCTCTGACCAAAGCTGTAGTTGAATTGAAATTTACAGTTAATGTTTCTAATGGACAGAAAATGAGTTCATCTGAGACATTTAAGTAAAGAAGAGTAATACAATGGCGGTTTCATTGTCCGACAATGATGTCGAAATGGTACGTTATTATTAGGATATTAGGATAGTTCTTCATATATTTGTATTACCAGCTCAATATAACATGTATATCAGTTGCCGGAATAGAAACCCATTGTATCTACAATATAATAAAAAGAAATTACTTTGCATTGATCCAGTACGTCTTCACCTTAAAAAGTACCTTCTGTAAATATCAAACTAAATAAGAAGGGATACTTTTTAGATTAGATTACTGGGATTATGTGTTAAAACATTCACTTTGAATGAATATCCTTCTGATGGCAATACCGATATATAGAATGATAATGATAATGGGCGAGCCATGCACTGTTTTACATTTTTATAAAACGGTAAGATCTTGTCATATTATCATTAACAACATGAGATATTATAACTCTACAATATTTCTTCAGGTAAAGAAAACTATGAATGTTAAAGTTAGATTTGAACACGATGAAGGCAGATTATTTTTTGTTATGGTAAGTACCTTCTATATTAAATCTTGATCAGGTACGTTCTGTATTTCTTCCTAAGAATCTTATTGAAATATTGAATATGAATGGAGTTTAACGTTCTACTTTTCTGAGCCCAATTGGACAAATAAAGACGGGCAACGCCATGCACGGTGCAATTAGGGAAATATTGCCAGGACAGCGGCATCAGCCTACTCTCTTTCGATTTCCATCTGTCGAGGGATCTTTAACGTACACAGTCTGTAGCACACGCGGCCTCGGTTTATTGTCCGGTGGGTTCGTTTGGCCATTCCGGATTTTATCAGAAACCTTTAGTTTCGTTTAGCATGTCGTTTTTGTGCAGTTGGGCACGATGCGGCAAGTTGGGCAATACGGCAAAACGAACCCACCGTTTATTGTCCCATCCGAACGACTAGACGCTTTTTTCATAGCCCCTCTTACCTGCATCACTGGCACCGAGTTGAAAAATCCGAAGTTATCATCTTGATTTATGCCGGGATTGAACCCTGGACCCTCCCTCAGATTAGCGAGCAAGCGTCTAACTCACTGATCCACCAGGTCTCCCAAATTTTGAATTTGGACAAAATATTAAATATGAAGCCGAAATTGTTCATGCGTCTGTCACAATAGTGTGACCAAGATTTAAAAACACAATCTTACCTCTTGAACATCCATACGTGAATATATTAAACTGTAACGAAGTTATTTCTCTATTCCATCAGAGCTGTAAATCACACTCTCCCATATAAAACATGGTTACAACAATGAAATGATCTGAAAGTCAGTACATGTCAGTATTTGTAACAGTATTTGTATATCCTTATGAACTGTTTCCCCAGGTGCGTTGATGTATATATTTTTTACAGGTAGTATCTAAAGGAAGAATTATTTGGACTGATAATTTTTACTCAGATGATAGTGGTGTGAAAATAGTTCACATACCTGATAAATATAGAGATGATTTATCGCCCTTTGCTAGAGTTATTGTGTACTACCATGGTCAATATTTAAATGCAGATAGTCTGACCATTGATTTTCCTGACAAATGTTTAGACCAGGTAAAGTGTTAAAATTCTGTTGACACTGTCCTATCAACCCCAGATTGATCTTATAACACGGTTATATGTTAGTTAGTTAGTTAGTTAGTTATCGTTTAGCGACGTTGTGTAATATAAAATCGAGGAGTATTAGTACTAGTACTATATGGTAATATTGTCTTCTGTTATTTCCGGTAATAATTCGATTAAATCATTGTGAAGACTAATATGTTCACTAAAATGCATGGACACTATTTCATTCATTGTCACTGTGAATGTGCAAAATTTATCAACACAGAACAGAAACAGACTTTTTGTACTTTAGAAGAATTTTTCCAAGTCAATCACAGTTTTCATTTTAGCTACAAATTCTCCACTACAGACCAGGCATCACTGGTTTACCATCCACACCAGATGATAAACGTAAAGTAATACGACTGAAAGGTAGTGTCGGAATGACTGTAGGACTAGTAGCTGTTGATAAATCTGTGTATTATTTAAATGATAAGATATCACTGACCAAAGAATCGGTAAGTTAAAATAGGACCTGGTACCTCATCATGCTATAAATACCAACCCCAGTGTGCAATCCTAGCGTGCTCGTAAACCTGATGTCTTAAGAGCCCCTTTGAAAAATACTTTGTGAACATTGTTTTTGTCTCAAAATGTGATTGTGGTTCTTCATTTCACTTATTGCATTAATACATACTAATTTTTTTGAACCAGTAAAGATAAATTAAGTTTGCATTTCGGCAAGTTTTTTTGAAAACTAAATCATCACAAGCCCGACAAATCTGGCCCTACCCGTGGCATTCCACAGACATAATATGCGGATGTATTATCGTCACGGTTACGGCCAGACTTAAAAGGTCACATTTAATGGGCGTTGCTCCGTATATCTCGTCCAAGGAACGGGTTGGACCAGATTTGTCGGGTAAATTCTTTATTAACTCATTCCACGGCTTGACACAACCCAAGAACCTCGGATTCACCGTCGTGACAAAAAATTGTTTACAGCTTCGTAAAGAAATGTTGAAGAGAGACACTGGAATCAAAACAGTTCAAAGTGAAAACGGCATCGAAATATTCCGAGTAAGTTCTCATTAAGACATACTTTTACAATGTTTATCACTTATCCTGTATGTATGTCAGCTATACATAGACTGGTGGAACGATTTACCAGTGCTCTCGCCAGTGGCGGGGCGAGGTTTACGTCCGAGGGGGGCGAAATATCTGAGATTGCCCGAATATCTAACCTAGCTATGAGATTTTTCCCCGAAAAACTTGCTTTCGGGGCTTTAAGGGGGGTGGGCGACTGCCAAGTTGTTCTCACTGAACACCACATTGCGTTTTTCTTCCAACAGACTATAGGTGCAGAAAGAGATTCTGTAACACCCCAATTAATTGAATTTGCTGTATTGAAATGGTAACCTAAAGAATGGTTTATTATTGTAGATCAATGGTTTATTGGTGCTTCAAAATATAGACCTATTAGGTGATGATATTGGTAGGCCTTTAAACCGTATAGGAGGTACATTATTTAATTTTGAGCATTCTGGCATTATAACCATTTAACAAATTGCAACAGTGCCGTCTGATAAAAGAATATCAATGTTTAGGATATTTTAATGTCAACATGTAGGATATGTTAATGTCCATATTTAGGATTTTCTAAATTTGGGGTGTTTTAATGTCAATATTTAGGATATTTTAATGTCACTATTTGGGATATTTTAATGCCAATATTTAGGATATTTTAATGTCAAAATGTATGATATTTTAATGTCAATATTTATGTTATTATGATGTCAAAGTTTGGGATATTTTAATGCCAATATTTGGCATACTTAAATATCAGTATTTGGATATTTAAATGGCAATATTTTGGAACCTGACCTTCGCAAAAATATATATACTTCATTGTCATTAATGTGATATTAGATCGTGTGTATGTTTCACCTCATAACAACGACTTGATTCCTTACAAGAAAATAAGAAGTTTCTTTCCCGAAACCTTCATGTTTGAAGACGTAGTGCTGAATTCGTAAGTTACTTACACAGCTTTTGCTTAGTCTGTTACCCCCGTCGATCTGTAGATAGAGGGTACATTTTCCCAAACCTTGGTTGATAACTGAACTAACTGGAGAATTAGTGCACAATATGTTTTACATAGACAAATAGAAATAAATATTAGGGCAAAACCCTGTACACAATTATCTTGATTCTCATACCCCATTCCACTAGGTAGCGATCTACGCTCTAGGAAGTAGTGCACCTACCTGGATGGGGCGATCAGATTACGCTCAGATAACGCTTCAGTGGCGTCCAGTAACGATCTAGAAGATCCGATAGCCACTTCATGATCCTTGGTCGCCAACTAATTCCTAGAAATGGCTCGATCTTGAAATCCTTGCATGATCAGTTTTCGTTCCGTTGACGACCCAAGGCCAGTAATATGTTATCCAATGTGCTTCAAGGACGATCACTGCGATCTATGGCGATCATGCTAGATCTGAAAACGATCTCGGCAACCTATGGAAATCCATTATCGCTAATATAGTATGAATATAGCGCCCTGGTCGATCGAATAAATAAAACCTTGGAGATATGATAGAGATCCACTAGAGATCAGGTGGCGCTTCTGGCGATCGTGGCGCTCTATATGGCGATCTACAGGAATGATATGATATAATGATCATATTCTATTTTTCTAGAAGAGGGACGTATAAACATAAATTTCTATTACCCGATACAGTTACTACTTGGATTATCCATGCTGTGGGTATATCAGCTAGTCGTGGTTTGTGTGTTGCTGATCCAATACAATTCTATGCTTTCCTACGATTTCATACTAAACTACAACTTCCACATAAAGTCGTTAGACTGGAACAAGTCAAGGTTAAACTTAGTGTTTATAATTACGACGCATCGACAAAGGTAACATAATTTGGTTGTAATTCTTCACCATCACGATGCCAAATCGCTAGCTCACTCACCAATAACGTTTGATTCAATTGGCGTTGTAAATAAGCTCCACAATTTGAGAAGAGGTTATCGAGAATTTAACCCTAAAAACGTCAATTGATCCTCGAGACTTTACCGCAGGCATCATCGCTGCAGCTAGTAAAGTTATGACCGGATTGGTCCTTCTGGATTCTCATCATGCCCTGTGTTGAGCCTTCTGGATGTCCTTCTTATATTAGTAGGCCTATTCTTCCTCTACTCTACTTGGTTGTATTTTCCAGTTCAAGGTTAACATAACAGGTGATTTGGGGTTATGTTTTCCACGATGGGAAGCTTATTGTGGTTCAATTAGAAAGGTTAAGAAGAATGGTATCAGTACCTGTGAATTTGATATCATACCATTTAGAACTGGTGATCTAGCTATAAGAGTTGGGATATGGGACCAGAGTGTCACGCCGCCCGAATTAGTTGACGCAGTAGAAAAGAAACTTTATGTTGTGGTAACTGCAGCATCATCATTTTATTTTAGTCTTTTTATACGCCCCCACATGGAAATGTGGACGTATATCGCCGTCCGTCCACATTTCTTGTGAGCATGATCGAGGGCACACCTTTTATCTGATCTTGATGAAACTTGGTATGCATGTATATATTGATGGGATCTCGGTCAAATCCGAAATTGGTAATAATCGGATGAACGATTTCAGAGTTATGGGTCTTGACTTAGTAAAACGCATTAAATTTGGCTTGTATGCACGATAAAGGCTGCAATTTTTATCCGATCTTGATGAAACTTAGTATGCTTGTAGACCTTGTTAAGACCTCTGTCAAGTCCGAAATTGGTAATAATCGGATGAACGATTTCAGAGTTATGGTCCTTGCCTTAGTAAAACGCATTAAATTTGGCTTGTTTGCACGATAAATGCTACCATTTTTATCTCACTCAAGTTCGAAATTGGTAATAATCGGATGGACACCTTCAGAGCTATTGCACTTGACTTAATAAAAATGCGTTAAATTTGCCTTGTAAAGAAAGATAAACGCTACAATTTTGATCCCATCTTGATGAAACTTAGTATGCACGTATATATTGATGAGATTTTGGTCACAATTGCACGAAAGATTTCATTTTGAATTTGGTCACAATCGGATAAACTTTTTTGGAGCTATTGCCCTTGACTTAGTAAAAACGGAGTTTTTGAGTTGTTGCCCCTGAATTAATTCTATGCGTCTAATTTGGCTTGTAGGCTTGATAGAGACTACATTTTTTTTATCAGATCTCAGTAAAGCTTGAAATTAGTAACAATCGGATGATTGATTTCAAATATTAAACCACTACAGACTTTGTTATCAATTATGACAGCTGATAGTAGGCGTATGCTACATTGCCTGGCAAGATATCTTTCAATGTACTGTCATAATCCATAATAACAAAGTACCATAATCTATATGTGGACTCCCAAGTGATTCGGAATGCAGAACCAGCGACATCGGCCACTATCTGTATTCTAGTGGAACCCAATACAAGAATTTGAAACTAAATATATTATTAATAAATAGTTGCAGACTTTCGAGTGTAAATTTGTCTGAAAGATTTTGTTAATGATGTTTGCAAAAACACATCCGTAATATGTAAGAGCACGTCTTGATTACAGCCAGAGGGGAAAAGACTTCGGAAAACCATAACATTTGCTTTAGATCCAGAAGGTAGTAAACTTCAGTCTGTGGCAGCAGAGAAAATTGTATTAGATAGCGATCCCGTCATGGACAACGGTAAGTTCATTTGTTTATAAGAAAAATATCACCACCAAATGCTTTGTAGGCCTACAAAGGCCTTCTCGTCTTTTTCCTCGTCTTTTTCCCCGCCGTTTTCCTGGCATTTTTCCTCGCCTTTATCCTCGCATTTTTCCTCGATATTAATATCTATGTTTTTACTGGATCAAACTGAATTTGCTTTCAATGGGTTAATTAACTAATGGATCGTTAATTAATTAGTTTTACCTAGTTTTGATGTTTGTCTTTTTAATGGCTCAATAATTTTAGTTGGAACCTTCAGAAAAATTAGGCGACTTATATTTCTCCAAAATAAAGCGTTTAATTTGCTAAAATCCGTGCAGTAGTTTTCTTGCAATTAACAAAAACAACATAAACTTACAAAGTTTACGTAATGTGTAGCCTAGGCCTACGTCAGAAGCTTAAACAATAGTTTTGGCGTTTAATGGCTTGATTTCTTAAGTTAAAACTTCCATATATTGTTATTCAGGGACACATTTTTCTAGATTTTGGTATATCTTTTTGTCACAAATTTGAGCAAAAAAAAAATCTTTTACCTACAAAAAAGAGGAAATACCATCACAATGACAATGACCAGATATATTTTGATTCTTTACACAGTCATAGATGATATTTTAGTTTGTAATATTGATGTTTTTTTTTTGTAGATACACTGAACAATACAAACGAAAACATACAGCAAACAGAAGTAGATTTAGCTTTACCAACAGAAATCATACCTGGAACAGAATCATGTGGAATCCAAGCATGTGGTTAGTTTTACATAATATGCTTTCAAATATTGAGTTCACTCAGCAACAAAAGAGCATAGTCACGTTAGTGCTATTGAGAAAACACAAAAATAACAGTAAAAGCTATGCAGAATCTTCAAAAGGGGCGCCTTGATGAAGAACAGCCATGAACGGTGTGAAATTCCTGTAGTAACACAGTAATCATTGTAGTGAAATCATTGAAAATCTGAACAAGGTTATAACTGTTATAGTATATATATATATGTACATATTTAAAATACAAAATGAAAACTTTTCACCCTATGACACGTCTTTATAACCACTGGATTGGTTAAACAGTAGACATTTTAACCATTAATGATTTAGGACATGTGCCTGAAAGGGTCAGAAATCGTAATATCTGTCATCATTAGTAGATAGAAGGACATTTTCATCTTTAGCATTATTTTGAATTTGGTATTTTAATTTTATTAAAATAAACTTCCTGACATCAAACCTCTATATAAAATGAGTTCTTCCTACTTAGGTGATTTAATGGGTGATGTAATAAGCACAGTTATATTTGATACTGGTGATACATTTGTCTCATCGTTTTATGGTGGTGAAGAAATCATTGGTAACCTAGCCCCTATAGTCTATGCCCTGGAATATCTTAATTCTTTAGATTTATTGAACAATGACATCTTCGATAGAAGTAGACGAAGCATAACAAAAGGTAGGATAGACATTTGTCTTTTTAAATCTATCGAAAGATGAATCGAATCTTGAGATTTAATTTTGCAGTACATGTCAGAACGTAAAGAGAATCTACTAATTACTACAGTCATCAGTGGCTACCATAGGGACTAGTTGAGTCCACGGGTCCCCATCTCTAACGAGGCCCCCACCCTCAGAAAAAAATATAAATAAGTAAATATCATGAACTATAGACTAAAAATCTTTCATTAACATGGAATGCGGGATAGCATAAATATGTTAATTTCCAGGAAGGTGCTCTTACCCACTCAACTCCACGGGGCCCCGCTCATCTATTGGGGTCACTGGCAGTGATAATCATCACGAATGAATGGTGAAAACTAGCTATAGTGTCGAAGGGCTCCAGAGTCGATACACTCAGACGTAAAGCGCTACCAGGTGTAAATGGGAGGATTGAGCATACCTTGTCACTACACTATACTAACTACTGTAGCAAGACTGAAACTTGATCAAATGTATGCACTCGACTTCAGAGCTTCAAAGTTGAAGAATGATCGCTTGTTCTCAGAGTCATCATCCTTCTGGGGAGTGAACTGAAAGCCAATAAATTTCAGGAGTAACACAGTTAATGAAGTATAGAAAGAAGTATGGATCATTTAGTTTAAATGAAGGCTCCTTACCATCTACTTGGTGAGTTAACCATCGTTTTGCCTTATCTTCGCTATGGTTACTAACATTGGTAACCAATGATTGGTTGGTTATATTACTTATATCATGACAACACTATCTGATTTCGCCAGAACGTTTTCACTTCAAGTAAGATGGCCTGTCGTCAAATGTTCATTCTTAAAAGTGAGATGCATGGCTGACGTTGTGTTGTGATATCTTGAATTCAATTATTTAGACTATTACGTAATAGTCATAATTCACAATTTCAGGTTTACAGCCCTGGTATTAAAAACATTGTGCCATACAAAAAATATCAAGTTTATAGACGATAGACTGATCAATGATGGCTTTATGTGGATTCTTGATCAAGTGGATGAAGAAGGTCGTCCTAAAGAAGTAGAGTTCAGGTTATCACAGGTACTTAGATTTGTCTCTATAATTTTCCACATAAGTTATTTAGTCGCAAATGATGCTATGATAAGCGAAACAGCTGAGCATGTTTAGCCAGTAAGTTCCTAATTTACAATGAACCAACCAGAGCTATAGTTTTTTGCATGGTTATTGCTTTTAGTTTAAAATGTAGGTAATATTTCGGCATTTCTCTTTTTTATAGAAAAATAAGAATTATACAGTAATGTTAGCAGCAGAAATTCTCATTGCACAAAAAGAATGCAACAAGTCTCAAGAGGTAATTTAGAATTCTAAAGTCAAAACCCTGTTTAACACGTGGTATGTGCATCATTCCAGCTGCCCATTGTAAATTTGCAGTTGAACAGCGTGTTGTACAAATATCATTCTGTTCATAGCTACTGCACAGAAAATAACGCACACATCTTTTTCCACTTTTTTCTAAGTAGATACGTTTTGAAATCTTCTTTTCTATTACGACAGCTTGAACAGGAAATGTTGGAATTTAAATTAGCTGTTTTCTTAGAAGAAAATATCTACTCTATTAAAAGTCCATTGGTATTATCAAAGATGGCGTATGCTCTACAACTAGCAGATAGTCCAGAATCAGAGCGAGTTATAAATAAATTTATAAATGCTGCTCAAACAGCTGAAGGTAAGTAAAAATAATAGATTATTTAAGGTTTTTCGGTATTCATAAGACAAGAAATTAAATTATTTTAGGGTTTTTATTGACGAGTCGTCATCAGATGAAATGTTATGGCACATTATGGACCAATGTATTAAAGAAGTGTGTTTTATCCCAGAATTATTGTCTTGTGTTATATACTCCTCGCTTCTAATGTCGTTCAAATCTTATAGTTTTTTTTACTTCAAACTTTCAGATTCGTTAAGGGACAACATTTCGGTAGATTATTTTCACAAATTTGGACAAATCTTTAAACGTCGGAAAGCATCTCGAACAAGTTCCTCACTAGCTAAGTCCCCAGATCCTAATATGACTTAAGCAGCCCCTAAAAGCTACATGTTAATCAGATGGTGCAGTAATTGTATTAAATATGTTTCAGGACTAACCTATTGGTCTGATAATGGAGCTGAAGAAGGTGTTCCACTATGGTATAAGCAAGGTGCCGATTCCTACTCTATAGAAACTACAGCTTATGGTTTACTATTGTATCTCAATAATCCTAACTTAGATCCAAACCCATTAGCTGATTGGTTGATAAGAAAGAGAAACAGAAATGGTGGATTTGTTGGTCCAACGGTATAGTATTTTCAATCAGTTCACAGTCGGTAACATCTCAGGAAGACAGACAGCAGAAAACTAGCAAATATTATGCCAATCTGCTAGCTAGTTGGTCAAGATGGACTCCTATAGTTGGAGAGCAAAACTATTAAATCACAGTCATCACTGTCTGACAGTACCAAATGCTTTGCTTTAGTATCCGCTTTAATGCTGTGTCAACGATATTGGACAGATAGAAGTATATGTACATGGTTAAATGGTTTATGTCCCACGTGAAATGTGGGGCGTATATTGCCGTCACCCGTGTCCGTCCGTCCGTCCGTCCACAATTGCTTGTTAACACTCTACACGTCACAATTCTTTAAGGATTTTGACGAAACTTGCTGAAATTGTTTATTATCACCCAAGGATGAACCCTATTGAAAATCAATAAAATCGAAAAATATTTATTATGAATTATTGCCTTTGTTCTTTAAAACGCGTTCGATTTTTAGCTCGTTAACATTCTACAAGTCACAATTCTTTACGGATTTTGACGAAACTTGCTGAAATTGTTTATTATCACCCAAGGATAGACCCTATTGAAAATCAATAAAATCGAAAAATATTTAATATGAATTATTGCCCTTGTTCTTTAAAACGCGTTCGATTTTTAGCTCGTTAACACTCTAGAAGGGATAATTCTTGATGGATTTTAACGAAACTTGGCATGAGTGTTCGTAATCACCCAAGGATGAACCCTATTCAAAATCAGAAGAATCGAAAAATATTAAGTATGAGTTATTGCCCTTGTTCTTGAAAACGCGTTGAATTTTTAGCTCATAAACACTCTAGAAGGCAAAATTCTTGATGGATTTTGACGAAACTTTATGTTAGTGTTCGTAATCACCCAAGGATGAACCCTATTGAAAAATTGAAAATAATTAGTATGAGTTATTGCCCTTGTTCTTGAAAACACGTTAAATTTTTAGCTTGTAAACACTCTAGAAGGCACAATTCTTGACAGATTTTATTGAAACTTGGCTTGAGTGTTTGTTATCACCCAAGGATAAAGCCTATTGAAAATCAAAAAGATTGAAAAATATTTAGTATGAGTTATTGCCCTTGTTGTTAAAAATAGTTCAATTTGTAGCTCGTAGAAACTATAGAAGGCATGATTCTCGCGCTGAAGATTGAATATTTGTCTTCTAGAGTTTTCACGAGCTAAAGATTGAACACGTTTTCAAGAACAAGGGCAGTAACTCATACTCAATATTATTCAGTATCGCCCTAAAGAGTTCAAATGAAGTGTATAACTGAAGGTTGAATATTTCATACTGGTGATTGTTACTGTACTGCTAAATATTATTCAAAATCAAAGCTGCCAGTGGGCGTATATTACCTTGCCTGGCAAGCTATCTTCTCAGTATCGAGAATAGATGACATGTAGACAATAAGCATGATATTCTTTGATCTGACAAAATATTAACGTAGTATTCTTATCCTGATAGATATTTTCATTTGAATTTTCACTATTTGTTTAATGTTAACCTTTTAGGATACCTCGATTGCTATCCAAGCTTTAGCTAAATTTTCCCATTTGAAACATTCTAAAACGACTGATTTACATATGGAGATATCTTCAGATATATCTACTAATTATAACGAAGTTCTCAATTTCAATACAGAAAATGCTATTCAACAGAAAGAAGTTAGCAATGTAAGTTATTATTAGCTTTCTGTATAGTATAGCATGCGTGTTGTAAGGTCGATTTAAAAATAACCAGTGACATGAATATTAATAATCTGTCCCTTATACAATGTTTACCTCATAAAGAGAAACAAAATAAATATGTAATTGCATTTTTTTTAATTGATCATCCTGTAGATTAAAGGTGGTAATCATCAGTAGCAGCAGCATCACCACATAACACCTTCTTCACTACAGCAATAGTCTTGCCTGAAAAGCATAAACAGGATCATCTCCATCGAAAATTGCTACAATCAAATCAATGTACATCACCACTAAAATCAGCAAGATGTATTCTCTGCCTTCCTAGATCAGAAAATGTCATTACTATTATCTTCATCAATCATTAGCATCTATACTATCAATGTCAGGCTCACTTCAAAATGTCTTTCTCGACATCGTCATGCCATTACTACTATTGTATTTGTAGGTACCAGTAGGAGAAAAAATAAGCATCATGACCAAAGGAAAAGGACTTGGTCAAATGAAAGTACGAGTAGCCTATAATGTACCGACTACACCTAATGATCACTGTATGTTTGACTTAACGGTGGAAAGGAAAGAAACCATTTTTCCTAAACAACGATATAATAAACAGTAAGTTATAAATCCATATACCTATAAAAAAAGAAGGGAAATAACATCCATGCTCCGTGAATCATTCTTCAAGCAAAGAATTTGGTAGACCTATTTTCAATGATCTTTCCCAGATTATCAGTACCAATATATCGCAGAAATATGCAGCAATGGGGAAAAAAGTTTATCAAAAATTTCACTGAATTTCGTATTGTCTTAATTGAGACAGAAGGGTCGATTTATGTTTACACATTTGGATTAATTACTGCTTTCTTTCAGTTATTCAATATGTAAATATTGTCAGTTTGGGTGTGATCTAGATAAGAGGTTGAGAGTTAGACGTTCTGTTAGAAGAAAGTTTGTCAGAAAATTGAATAAGAATAAAAAGACAAAAAGGACCAAAAGACCACGAACCAAGAAAACGGGGAAGTCAAAACCCAGAATCACTAAGAAATCTCTATGTTTAAAGATCTGTCTAAGGTTGTATATACATTTTCTCTAATAAAGATAATAATCCCACCATCATGCATGGTAGGTATCTGTGGATCACATCTCTGTTGATCTACAACCATCACAAAAAGGGACGCTTGCTGATTGAGCCGATTTTCTACGAACTTTGCAGAGGCATAACGAATACTGAGCCTCAACAAAGCAAGTTGAACGTTGTTACTTTCCTTATGAACCTTCAGTCTTATGTGACTAATATAGGTTTGCCGTTAACTTTGGTGTTTGTATTTCCTTCAGTTATCGTGGTGCATCCTACAGCGGTCCAACTAATGTTGAAATAGAAATGTTAAGTGGATACAAACCCATAGATGAAGACTTAGCCATTGTGAGATCATATTTTTATAATGCTCTTGTATAGTCGTTTTACGAGAAGCTGCATGTCCTGAAATATTCCTGAGATATGGTAGCATCAAGACAGTTTTGCAAACAGTTATTATGATTTTGCTTTTATAAGTGTTTAAAATGAAACCCTTCAATCTAACTGAAAGCACAGACTAGAGTATACAAGCAATATTCTAATGTAAATGAATTATTCTGTACCTAATGATTTGAAGGTTTATTATTATTTTGACATTAACAGATAAACGAGTTGAGTGGTAATAGTATCAAGAATACTAAATATAAAGATGGACTATTGACTGTTTACTTATCAGAGGTAATTATTAGGTTTTTTTTTCAATTTATACATCAGAGGACTCAAAGGCCATAACGTCAAAAGGTTATCAATAGAAATAAGACAAGACTAAGCTAGAATGCTGGACCAGCCATTTGCCATTCACCTAAAGAGAAGAGACCAAAATTGATTTGTTGTAAAATGGATTAATTTTTCCATTGCATTATAGTTCATCCAACAATATATTTCAGGTATCTAACAATGCGAGTACCTGCCTATATTTACGAGTTAAAGAAGATGAAATAATTGATTACTTACAACCAGCACCGGTAGTAGTTTTTCAACCCTCTCGGCCAGGTATATATATGTGGTTCTGTCTTGCACCTTGCACAAAACATTTAGATCCCATTTGTTTAAATATGACAGGTTTACTGGCTAAAATAACTGTAAGCCTTTTTAAACTGGTGGATACTATTATCAAGAGGTTTGGTTAAAGACAACTGATGGTAGGTAGATTATGGAAAGTTAGATTAAATACATCCGTTCATATGTCTTAAGGTTATGTTGCTTCGTAGTTTTAAAGTTCCCCATGGCCCATGTTAAAGGCGAAGAGTTTCAGGAACAGATTAAGGACATTATCTTTGACCTTTGTCATGTGAACCAGATGGCGTTCATCCTCTCGTACAGAATTGTCGTTCCATGCTGTCACATTACAAAGGAATGGGAGATTGTTACCGTATAGTAAGACAAACTAAACATCAATAATGTGGGAAGACTACATATAAATTATTTCACTTCAATCATTTTTATTGGATATGCTTATTTTTAGAGGAGATATGTTTAAAGAATTATGACATTGGTCATTTACACCAGACTCTACCAGTATACTGTATTGAAGATGATAATATGAAATATAAAGGGAAATGTCAATGTTTATCAGGTATGAAAATAATGATATGCAATTTCTTTTGATAGGCAATGAAGTTCAATTTCCATTTCATTTCAATCTACCTCATGCTATATGATTTACTTAAAGAATCGATTCAAGACTCTTCGAACGAGGTTTGATTATTGAATCTACTTGAGCTCTTCAGCTAAAAAGATGTGTCGGATAAATTACAGACTTTATCTATAAATAATTGATTTGTAGTAAATGTAATTGTTGGAAAGTATTGAATTTGATTAACGATTAACTTATATTTATTTCAAGAATCGTGTGGCGGTTGTAAGAAGGTGCGCCTTTTCAATCTCCAAAAGAAGTTTTGTGCATCAGATGTTGGTAAGTATAACCTCCCTTGTATAGTTGGTGAACACAATTCGTTCCATGCTTAATTACATGAAAACTCTCGATATGTCCAACACAATGTGGGATTAGATAGATCTGTCAGGCAGCGTTGTTTTGAGGTATTGTCGGGTTCTTCGGTGTCTTTAAAACAAACAAGAACCAATGAGATATAATATAGCGTGATGGTTGAGTTCCCTTCTCCGCCGTCAAATTATATAACTTATTATTGCAGTTTACAACATAACTATTGATAGAACAGTTAAATCAGAGGCATCGAAAGACATTACTGCTGTTTTGAATAAGATTCATAAACAAGGTAGGTTTGTGGAAATCAAGAGGGCACATGCCTTTCAGTGTGTAATGCGCGTGTGGGAGACTATTAACCGTTTTAGAAACCGAATGGTCAACGGTACTCCCGAGTTGAAAATATTGGACCGCTTTATAGCTCAAAAAGATGACCAGCCTTAAGGATGATTTTTCCTTAGTTAAGATCAATAACTCTATACCAAACTATTTTAAACAAGTGATGAGTTTCTTACAGTGTTTTTTTTTCTGCCAAGGTGACCATGACATTGCTGATGGTAAATCCATTGAACTCAGAACTTCATTAGCATGCAGTTGTCCGAATTTTAAGACAGGAGAACCATTAGTACTGGTTGGAAAGAATCCTAAAAGATTTGTCAATAGGAACATGGAAGTTCTGTAAGTGTCTTAATTCAGATTGGTTCTATGGCAAGTGTTTTAAGCAAAGCCATGTGTTTATATTGAAATATTTGGAGGGGTCATATATCATTGTAATAGAAGTTTCAGTGTCTACAGACTATATTATTATGTGATGTTTTGAGAGATTCGCCTGTCAGAAGTTTTCACATACTATAGCCTATAAGTATAAAGATACTTATTGTTTGACATTTCATTCAGTGAACATTAAATATTTCTGTTTCAGATATAGGTATATTGTGGACGAAACTACAACACTTGTCAACGTAACTGATAGAGGGGGTCGAAATTCACATGGTAGAACCAACTTTTTAAGTGCTTTTCACAAACACCATACACTTTGCCCGGTAGAATAAAACTTATATTACTAAGGAACTGTACATAATCGTAGATATCAATATATCTTATTAAAGCTTGTCAACTCTTGCTGTCATATCCATTAAATTCTGTGGTCGTGTTATGTATTTATTGCTTACACGAGTTATTTGCCAAGAGATTAACAGTCAGAAATCATCTTTTAAACCAAATGGAATTATCAGCACTTAAAGTGATACAGTCTGGTGCTTCTATGAGACTGCTCCATTGGTTGAATCCTCGCATAAAGCGTTAGAGAAGGTTTCCAACAAAGTTTGTGAAGACCAGAATAGTTTTGGAGCACAAACGCTTTGTTAGAAAGGAAGTGGGGTTACCATATTGTATTAGGTGTGACCAGACGAAATCAAACTACTTAATTATATTCTCAAATTGTTTTATTTTATATTGCAAGTTTATCTTATAATAATAATATCAGATTATTTTAATTTCATGACAACACAGCCAAAAATATCCTCCAACTTTTCTTACTTGGACTAACTACCTTACTACAAAAACATGGTTGTTAGTTTCTTTTATAAACAATGCAATACATCAACTCACGGTGACCATGGTTACAGTATTATAAACAACTTTATTTACATAGAAACACACACACACAGTTTATAGTGCATTCCCTAATTCATGGCAAAGTCACATTTCAAACCTCAATGATGTTAGCTGAAAGAAATTGTATTAGATAGTCTTTTGATTTTTTTTCAATTTCACAATTCAGATACTTCTATCTCTTGGCACAAATGGCACCACTATTCTCACGGTTGCAACTTTCTTGACACCTTAATATAGTCATGATTAATTCACATTGTCTCAAAATTTGACTTTAATCAAAACGGCCACCTTTTTTCAAAATATACTTCTTTACCTCAATCCATAGAGAATGCACTAAAAATTGAATAAATACCTAATTACAGTCGTAAGTACAAAATTTTTAATTTACATATATTGATAACTTTCTATTGCTTAAATATGATTGGCTCCTAAGGTAGAACATATAGTCTGTTCCAAAATAATGGTAGAATCTAATTTGTCCTTTTTTGAAACAGACTATACACAATATCTCAAACCACATAATGCATATAATAATGAGAAGTGAATCAAACATGGGTTTCAATTAAAGTTTAGATAATACAAGAAAAATTCACTACATTATACTTTATTCAAATGAGACAGACATATCAATCGATTATCACGTAAAGTTTTTACGTTACAATATACGTTCTGCATTTCAACATATTTCAAAGATGCCAGTGGCCTTATTCTTAAAACGGTACAGTTTACAAAAATTGGGTTCAAACTTAGCTGTACAAGATAATTATACTACTAAATTTCGAGTATTTCTCTAAATTTTTGATAATGAATACAGCATTTGGTATTCCATTAGCTATTGAAATCTGATACCCCAAGTTTGGAAGAATGAGAGGAAGGAGGAAGAATGAAGGATATGAATGAAAGATTTCTAATAATAAATATGAGACGAAAGTTTTGTAAGTTTATAACATTATTTAAATATTTGTTATTTATATACAGGTTATTTACATTATATATAACAATTATAACATGATATGAGCCTTTAACAAGTCGGAAAAAAAACTTATTCTTAATCAGATATAACATGGAAGTTATCAGGAGTTGCTTCTGTTTCTTACAAGCGTCATCACATAAACTAACTATGGTAGCAATAGATCATACTTTTCATTCATTGTAATCAATCATTCAATAATTAAATTATCATACAATGCTTTTAGTGTAATAGATCATTCATTTTTAATACAAGATTTTAAATGGCAGTAACAGGTCCACAGGATTGTGATAAATCATACAATGAATAAATTGATTGTATTGTTTATTCAATGGCTTGATTGGTTGTATTCAATTATACAATGGTTTTCAGATGATAATTCATTCAATTTTGTTTTGAGAAATCATACAAGATTTTAATTTACAATAAGAAATAATTCACTGGATTGTAATTGATCATAAAATGATTAATTAAAATGATTCTTAGACTAACTTCATGGTAATAAATCATATTATGATTTAATTGATGTAATAATGCAAACAAGTTTTTAATTAATTGCAATTTATCATACAAAACTTTTAATGAGATGATCTGTTACAAGTGTATGGTTTCTGTACATGCCAAATTAGAATAATCTAAACATAGATTGGAAAGGAATATTTACAAATAGTTTTTCATTTAATCATTGAAAGGAGTATAGCTTTAAATTTCCGAAAAATCTATTTGGAATTAGGAAGGTTTAACAATTGCATGCCTTATGTCTAAATCAACACCCAATATTAATTAATATCTTAATGCAATAAGGGGATTTTCATATAGAAAGAATACATTGTTCAAGAAAATGACTAAAATATCTAATTAAAATGAATGAAATTTTCTCTTAAATTAACAGAAACATGAAAGGTATGAAGACAAGATTGCAGTAGATCTTTGAATAGCACAAAATATAATAGCACCAAAAAATAAATAATAAAAATGAAATGAAATAAAAGGGATGGACATAGAATTATTTCAAAAACATTTTAATGTTTTACAAAGTTGTAAAGCATTATTTATAAATATATTTCACTTTATGCTATAAATGAATACTTATTTTGTATTATTGTTTATTATGGCAAAATTCTACCGATTATATCACATTTTGTCTGTAGCATGTAAAATTCTACTCTTTACACCATCTTATATTTGCCACAAATTTATAATAGTCTTTATTCATAATTATGTTTCCAATAAACACATAACATATATTCTATTCTTGTTTCCATAGCAACTACTTTAACTTCTTTGAGCACATCCAAAACAATGTGTCTGTTTCACTAAGTACAAATTAACTATAGTTTGCTTCAAAACTATTCACAAATATATAAAAACATCCATTATAAAAAAACTGATCCTTGAAAATCGATCACTGTCCAAGTCTGGCAAGAAATTCAGTACATACTAAGTTTAACGTTACTTTTAAAAGCATTTTGCTTTGGTGACAGTATAATTTTTTGGATCACTTTTGATTTTCACAATTTAAGTAGGTTAACCTTCTCCCACAATGCTATTAAGCCCAGTCTAGGAAGGGCTATCAGATGCCACACACAGAACTAAAGCATAGTTTCGTATCTTGGTTCACAGATCCCATGACTGTCCAACAGAGCACACAGCACTATCATAAGTCATCATATTGTGACCTTACACTGTGACCTATTTAGATTTGTCCTTCTGGAGATTTTAACAGCGTTTATCTACACTATTGGGAGCTGAAAGAAACCAAAGAAAATTACTTAAATACTAAAAAAAACATCATGCTATTTGAACACTTTTGTTAAAGTAATAAATTTTAGTATTATGCGTAATGGTAATAAAGCTAAAAAAAAAAAAAAAATCAATGAATCTTCAGTCATGTAAGGTAAAATCTTGTAGCAAACACAAATGCAGAGTGACATAAGTTATTCCAGTAGACGACATGTACTAAGTCACCAACTAATGAACTAAACCACTACAGTATTTAAATGGTAGATAAGAGTAAATTTCAACTTGTGACAAACATAAAGGAAATATTGATCTATATCTTTTAAGAGTTAAATCAACAGGAAATAGTTTAATAAACAGGTCAAACGCGTTGTTTTGTGCACCACCTTCCCCAAGATGACATGTTTGGGTGATCCTAAGTCTCCGCAACATTCAAGGTAACCTTCCACTTTGTCCATAATCTCATAATAATTTCAAACATACAAATACCAATAATGATATCATAAATTCATGCTCATTTCAAACCATGCCATGATATAATACAATATAAGATCTTTTCATCAAAGCGATAATTCAAATTGAAACTATCACATGTAGATCTGAATTGTAATATAATTACTCACATCATAGCCTGTACTGGATGGAGGACTATTGTATATTCGGTTGTGATCAAATATTTTTTGGCCTCTTTGATTATAAATATCAGACTCATTGGAAGCAGAATTGTTGTTAGAGTGGATGATTGGAGCAGCATAGCCAATTTTACCATGACTGGAGTGGTTGGACCTCATTGAGCCAGTGGGACTCATGGGAAGAGAGGCAAGAGGGAAACTGGGCCTATAATACGCAGGAGCATCCAAAGCTAAAAGCAGGGAAAAAGGAAAAAAAGCAAGCAATTAGATATGGTATAAAAAGCATTAAATATTTGCAGTGATAAATAAATATATATGTATTTTAAGCAGTATAGTAGTTTTAAAAAATATTTAGGCACATCCAGGGACAATTCAAAACATAAACATAAGAACAGTCCATTATGTTTGTGGCAAAACATACTCGTCAAATCCACAATATAGTCATGACTACTTCAATATAGCAGTTCATGTTTATGTTTGGAAACGACCCTGAATGTGGATATATAGACAACTCATGAATATATCAATGAATATATAAGTTTATATGTAACAAGCACCACACACTGAATAATATTCACACCAATATCTAGCCTAGTAAAATATGTATAATATATAGATAGATCTCTACTATCATCACACCAAATTGTATAAACATCAAGTAATAAGCAATGATTTGTTAGTATTGCTGAAACCATGCTCTATGCTATGACTCGTAAGGGTTTGTAAGATGAAGGATGATCTAGGGCCTACATGATCCCTAAGATGTTGGATGATGACCGAAACATTTTGCATACGCAGCTTTCTTCCTAGAGAACATATTCAAATTTAACATGTAAGGGCCTACAAGTCACGACAGACTTCAATTAGATAATGAGAGTTGTTCCCCTTTACTCACCTCTCATCATGTCTCCTGCTTTGAGGTAATATTGTTGTGAATCAGACTGCAAAGGTTTCTGTCCATGCCTCTTTCCTGAAATTGGGATTTTGTCAATTTTAAGCAAGTGCTTTCTCCTATAAAGATTACTTAACCTTTGCTGTCCTTGACAACCTTCAACAAATTTACTTGATTGTGAATGGTTTAATGGGAGCTATAAAAGCATATGTTAGTAAAGCATTGTATAATTCTAAGCCTAATGATATATGACCAAAGCCAGGATAATGCACCATACCATGAAGGAATCATTCAGGAATGGGTTTAGCAGATGTGAAGGATCTAAGCTGTGAGTTACCTACCTTGATCAGACATTTGTTTCTTTCGTTGTGATTTAGGGTAGGGTTTACGTACTACCGCACTCATGTTACTGTCAGTACTATAGGGACTGGTGGGCCGTGCTGTAGATCTTTGATGTTTGCGATATTTTCGTCCTACAAAAATAATTGGTGACCCACTGATAGCAGTACAATATATTTGTGCCATTGAGCACTCAGTTTTGTCAATAGTCTGAAACATCTGCCTCTATTCCAGCCTCTGATAGATATTTTAAAAGTTATTGGAGTCAGATGTTTGTCCACTGCAAGCTATTTCTCAGATTGAAGTGAAATGAGCTGAAATGTACTTCCTGATATTCAGCTGAGAGGTTCAACTCTTCCACAAATGCATGCTTTCTAACAAAATGAAACTAAAGGTTTGATGAAGATGGTGAAGAGTTCATTAGAAAACTTGTTATAGGTTGTCTGTTAAATTATATCTTTATTAGCTGAATAAGCAATGAAGATGGAAAGGTAAAAGAAGTCATAAAATAGACTAAAATAGTAGTATACTACATACCTCCTGCTTTAGGATCAGAGACTGTTGTACCTACAACTGTCAAACCAGACATTTCAGCAGCTTTAGCAACAGCACTGGCAAAGTCAGCTTCTGCGAGAAAAGAATCATCATCACTAAAATCATCGGAGCCTGATGAGGTACAGCTTGTGTTTGCCTGATCCGTACTGACCCAGCCTATAGGAGATGAATATTGTATGGTATGAGATGTGAAATAGAGGAACTATTATTGAGAATTGGTGCCGAACTGGAGAATGTTAAACAGAAATGGATTTTTTCCCAAGTATTTACTTTAATTTTCAAATAAAAAATTCTGAATCTCATGGACATTTGTTCATTTTTATATTCACATGAATTTAAATTGTGAATACCTATTTTTCTAAAGTAATGCCATGGACAATTTGATTTGACAGCTCATTGAAGTTCATCAAAATAAACCACGTCAAACACCATGGATTTGGCTAAGATTGAGTAAAATGGAATTTTTCCAGAACGGCTTCAATTCTCATCTAAATTTAAATTTTGTTAGTATATCATGTTCACTAGAAGTAGGAAACAGTTATCAGAAATGAAATGAATGGAGTTTTACGTCCTAGTTTTCTGCACCATGTGTGCTAATGAAGATGGTACAATTATCAGAGATATATATTGAAAGACAAGAAGCTTCAAAAAATAATTCAGCATTGGAGAAAAATGTTTTTTGTTAAAAACAGTGACCAAATTTGCACATTTTTCCATCAATTGTGTGAAATATTTTCTGTGTGTATGTTATTGTTTTTTTCCTATAATCAAATAATCTTTAAAACATAAATTTTACCAAAGATCAGCAGCCTGAACTATATTTTAGACGTTTCTATCAGTATAGTTGAATTAAATGACAACATGTAAAAACATGGCTTCACAAATTAGATTTAGTCAACATTACCATAGAAAAGAAATGGATTATGTCAAATTTTATGATGAAAAATAAATGAAATTTACCAGATTTTCAGAAAAAAAAATGATTTTGGAGTCTGGTTGTGATAATAATTGAAATATTAGCAGAAGTGTGATAATTGATAATGACATTATTTGGTTCCTGGAATTGCTTTTTCATGCCATTAGATAAAAATATCATTTTAACAAAGGACATATTATGATGTCATCACCAGAAAATGTGCATATTAATTATTTTATCAGAGAAATGTTAGTGGTTAGAATTGTCATTTTAACAACTTTTGAATTTTTAATAGAGATACTCAATAAATAATAAATTGTCAATCTTTAATTTCAAATAGCAATTTTGATCACATTTTTTGCATGCAGAGAAAAGCTTATAGGATATGTAAGAGAGTGATAAAAAAAAGCTAAGTTTTTGGTCCAAACACACAAAGACAAGTTTCCTGTCTAATTCTATGTATCACATAGACCTGGATCCTGTTCCAAGAAAAATCTTATGCATAATTCTTGTATGGTATTTGTAAAATTCCACACTTTTGACAAATTACATTTGCAAGATATTTTGAGGAACAGAACTCAGGAATTTTACCCCCTTAACAAAGAATTAAGCTATAAGCATGAACTTCTTAAACTATGAGAATGAAAATTTGCTGTCATGTGTTAGACCAGTTGATTAGTAAAAGAGTTAAAAGAGAAAATGGAAGAATGTAATGTAAATTGTGAATATGGTTGGGTCAGCACTTCACTGTAGACAAAACACATGCTATTAGTTCAAAATTACATTTAAAATATAAGCATAGCAGACGGGGTGCTGGGAGGCTGTGTTTCCCTTATCAATATGGTTTCTGATAGCCGAAACTATGCAATTTTTCAAACTAACTATGTTTTTTTTGTTTGCTGTCAATGGGTATGTGTGGGGGTGAAGTTAAAGATATATCAGCACCCCAGACTGCTATGCCTATTATAGCAAATACAATAACAATAAACAACAGCATTATATCGATATCGTTCCTGCTCCTGTCAATATAATTGTAAAAGTAGTGGGTGTATGGTATTTACCAAGCACAGTACTAGTCATAAAGCCTTGAAGCATCAATATAAAAGCAATTTCAGCAAGTGTTTAAATTGATTCATGCTTTGAAGCTGGTGGTGTTAAAACAATAGAATGTTGACTTACCATCTCCATTAACACTAGAATCTGGAGTATGACATTCCACTTGTCCTGGATCCATGTCAGACTCATCTGCATAATCTGGCATTTCTTCAGACACAGGAGAATCCCCATTTCTATAAATGGACAAAGTTAAACACAAACTGTATAATTAAAATACCAACAAAAAATGAGGATACATGATGTTTTTCTCTTCAGACGAAGAACATTTGACAGGCATTGGCTGGTGTATAAGTCAAATCTCAGTAAAATCAAAGATGCTATGAAGGGTGCAGTGTACTGTACAGAGAGCTTTTTAAGATTTAAAACAGACGATGTTATCCAAACTATCAAGTCCAGTTAGAACAGTTCAAGAATTAATTGAAGGATAGAAATATAAAGTGAACTTACCTGCCCTGATAATTAGGATGTACACATTCACTGGCAAGACTGGGCAGAGAAGATTGACAAGCTCTGTCTATAGATACACCTTCTGGTGCACACTGACTACATATTCTATTGTCTATATGATAGCCTTGTAGAGAGGCTGGGGTATAAACACTACCACCCATCATACCCCCACCACGCCCTTCTATATCACTATAATAGTTACGGGAGGGGTAAATATTATTATAGTCATTTTTATCACCAACATGGTGACATGGAGGGTAATACCCTTTACTAGGTGATATCCTGCCATCTTGGACAGGAGAATGAGTTCGTCTCGTATTGAGCTGTTTAGGAGAATATGGCCGACACTCATGTATCCTAGGTGAATGCATTCCAAATTCATTGTCCGAGTAGGGTACATTTCGTATATTAGGTGGCATCCTATCATGTGGAACTGGACACGAACAAGCAGAGATTTTAGAAACGGGTGAAATTGGACTGTGGTTGTTGTCATGCCGATGAGCAGCTTGACGTTCCAATCTGTGAAGAGTATTCATGGGTGATTCTGGTGGTGATCCTACATCACTTGGTGGTGGATGTTCAGGTGGAGGGGGAAGTAACTCTGACCAGTTCACCATGGGTTGTTTTCCTGGATATCCTTGTCTTTGCATTTTACGATTACGTTTTACTGGCATTCCAAATTCATCAGTGGTTAGGCTACCACTGTCACTTCCTGGGCTTAACATTTCAATATGTTCATGAGGACAACCTGAAAATGATGGTTGATCACATAAGCTGCATATTATATGAAGCTACAAAGCACATGGGGTTATCAAAAAAATGAAATGGTCTGCATCATAAAAAAGATACTTAAAGATTCTAAAGAAAACTCCATGAATCTTTTGATACAAGCATGTAATTAATAATAATTCAAATTGGATATTAAACTTACTTGTGTTAGGTCTACTATTGTCAGAATGAGAGTCACTGGATCTTAGTTCTGGTTTTTGGCAACTATCTCCAGAGCCACTGGCACTACTGTGAACATATGCATGATTTATTGGTCGAAATGTGGACTCCATACATGTCTGTAAAAAAATAAAAGGCAACTTAGGGCGATCAATTTTTCAATTACCCTGAAACCGTAACATTGTAGAATTTGGTTTTGCAAAGCGGCACCGTTTTACCATAGTTATTATTTCTGTCTTTACTTGAGGAGAAAGTTATATATTTTGTTGCATAAAATGTTGGAAGGAAGCTCATTAAAAAATAAAATATATTATGATGCAAATTTCACAAGTAAGTAAGGTTCTATATTATAAGGAATTTGAACTATTATTAATACTAACCTCATAAATGCCAACATTAGGTTGCTTTAAAAAGAGAACAAAAAGATTAATAAGCAGGGTGAACTAAAATCTACATAAGCCACACAAAATCTAACTTTCCAATACTTTCATGTATTATTCCATGCAATGAATCAAAATAGTGTATTTTGAATTTCCACATTTTGTTTAGTAATGTATCAATTAATAACAGCCATTAGTTTAAATTTTAAATTTTAAATCAGATTTCTTTATGTCTCAAAATATTCAGCAATTATTGCAGTCAAGCTTTAAAATATGTTTATCAACAATTAAGGCTACTGTGATTTTTTAAAACCACTTCAAAATCAGTAAAGGTTTAAATAGGTTATGCTTACTTCATAAATCCCAAGGGAAAGCTGAAGGGATGGAAAATAAGGAAATGATTAGTAGGAGTGATTAATCAAGTAAGGCAAGGTTTTCACAGGTTAAGAAGGGTTAGTTGAAATATTTAATAGGGTATCAAATATCATACAGGGTTTTGTTAGTTTAAGGTATAGGTCATAAGAAAACTGGTTGAACTTGTTTCATCTATTTTTGTTAAGGTTTGTTCTACGACACATTTTTTATTTAAATTATTGAGATTGAGAAACAAGTTCAACACTGTCTTCCAAGGAGAAGATAACTCTGATACTTACATTACTGCCTTGATGTGAACGTCCAGGCATACCCTGACCTGTATTTATCAGGGTGGTGGTGGCATATGGTGCTACTGAAACAGCAAGAGTCGAGTTGGGTTTCTGATAAAATGTTTTCATCTGTGGAATCGAGCCTGCTGTGTTATAAATATTCTGATCTTTCAATTCTACGTCCTTTGAGTTTGCGTCCAATAAACTCGCCAAGTCGGAATGTAAACCCCCATAACCTAAAGGGAACAGAACGCAAAACGACACCAAATTAGGAGAGAGCACAATTTTGAGAGAAAGGGATAGACCACAACATCGATTGGCAGGCAATTTGTTTGTCAAATTTTGTTAGCATGCATCAGTTGTCAAAGTTTGTCAAAGAGCCATTCTATGTCAAGTGCAAGTCTATTGAGAGCAGTCTAACAATATTCTTAGATCAGATTCCATGTTGTTCATTTAGAGAAACCACAATATGTATACATCAATGGTTATCTTAAGCAATCTTACCTGACATGTTGCCATGGATATTACCATCTTTCTGAGCATAAACTACATCAGCAACACTTCTATAATAAAATGAATATATATTAGGTATTAAAAGAAGAAGATAGAAATCTAAAATATATTCCTGATAAATCGCCATATTTTAACATTTTGGTTGATCATCTGTAGTATGAGTTTCAGCTTGGCTTTACACGTACCAGCAGATTGGATAGATAATTTCAAAACATTCATAAACAATGTAGCCAATTAAACATACCTTGAAGAATCTTCAGCTTTGTGTACAGGAACAGCTACAATAGAAATATAAAGAGGTCAGAAGCATAATTTGATAGTGGAACCAATATTGATCAAGTTTTCACATGCTTTTCATCAGTGCTTTATTATTTAAAATAGCTAGTATCACAAAAGAAGTTTAATATTTCTTGGACACTAATTTGAGAATCTGTGATAAAGGCTTTGCCATTCATCTGTGCTTTATTACTGAATTGAATGGAGGTCTCACTATGAAAGCATTCAGCATACTCACCACTGTACATGCCATTCTGTGCCAACTTCTTACGATTTTTCCTCTTTCTACATAACCAGATACTAAATATACACAATGCTAACCACAGTGTTCCACCAATAGTACTGATTAACATACCAATAAACCATGGTTCTTTCATTATATTAGGTTGCTCTGGACCTTTAATATAATAGAAATCAAGGGTAAAAATTCATGAAAAGAATCAAAGAAAGCTTTATTATAACGTTTTTTTTTTTATTTCAAATCAAAATCTGAATTGAAACAAATAAGTCAGAGATAATTTTCTGCTGAAAAAAACAAATTTCATCATTGACCAAACACAGTGCAATATCAGATGAAAAATAACGATTCATTTTTCATTGAAATTAATTACATTAAATGAGCCTTATACACATTATTTTTGGCTCGTCTAAAATACATGTCACAAGGCTTCATCCAAAAATTATGTCCCTTGGTATAGGGTGAGATGTATTAAAACCATAGAGTTATAAATAGAACCACACTTGACAAGTGACGTGCCGATACTGGAGGAATGCGGCCATTTTATAAGAGGTCTACCTTAACATAATGTCAAATGGATGTTATTGACAAACTTGCAGAGAAATTATGTTTTTTAGTTTTAGCCAACCAGAAAAGTATAGGCCATCTATTTTAAAAGAGTAAATCGGTCATTAATAGACATAATTTAACCTACCTGATGGAGTTAAAATCGGTTTTATGTATTAAAAAAAACTAGAACTGTTCCTATATACCCAAACAATTTAGAAATAGCTAATTAAAATACACATCCAGAAGAAATTTGGATAAAAAATTGTTAATATGCATGAGCACTACTAGAATCCAGTCTAGAATTTAATAATACATATTTATACCAATCTAGAATTGGATAATACACATGCATATCAATTTTGATGAAATTCCGACAAGAAATAAGAAAGTTGGTAATGCGTATGCACACAAAAAAAATTGAATATTTCCATCAAATTTAGAATTGGATTATACACATACCTACCAAGTTTAATGACATTTGGAGTAGAAATAAGAAAGTTGGTAATGCGCATGCGCTGAAGAAAAATTCAATTTTTCCATCATATTTAGAATTGGATTATACACATACATACCAAGTTTGATGAAATTCGGTAAGAAAAAAGAAAGTTGGTAATTCTCATGCGGACTACGCAAATTTTATAATTCCATCAAATTTAGAATTGGATTATACACATACATACCAAGTTTAATGACATTTGGATAAGGAATAAGAAAGTTGGTTATGCCCATGCGCAGAACAAAAATTCAATTTTTCCATAAAATTTAGAATTGGATTATTCACATACATACCAAGTTTGATGAAATTCGGATAAGAAATAAGAAAGTTGGTAATGCGCGTGCGAAAAATGCAAAATCAAAATTCCAAATTCGGCTAGCAAGGAATTGTTGCCAAACATCTTGAGTTTTCTAAAAACATGCAAATCGGATAACAAATGAGGGAGAAATATCGAATTTAAGAAATGTTACGCTAATCAAAATGGTGGCTGGATTGACGCTTCTGGTGAAATTTTTTTCGCTTATTTTAATTTGAATAACATTTCTAATAGGGCCCCTCACCTCAATGTTATATGCATGGACCTCCGTGCGTGACAGGCCCTGATGTCAGATTTAATAATAAGTTTATAAAATATTTTTATTTATCAGACCTGTAAAAACAAGTCTTGATCCATAGTCGGCACATTGACGTTACCATGTATCCAACATTAAATGAGGTCAGTGTGGACTCTAGTTCTTATTATATAACGCTATGATTAAAACTCATTGTCAATTCATAATTCATTTTATCCTAGAACTCAGCATAAATTAAACTCCAGTCAAATATTCATTTTTTTCTATTTTTTGCCATTGATTAAAGAGGATTTCCCTTCAGGGAATCTACCCAGCTATAAATTGTTATTTTTTATCGTACGATAACAATGGTTCCCATCATTCCTGTCTTCTTAAAAGTCACATGTCGTCCGTGTGTTAGCAATTGAGATTAAGTCGTCAGTCATCTTGTTTTTATTGTGAATCACTAGAACTCTGGGATTTTAATCCCATGGGGTCAAGGTGAACCTGATCTTTCGCAAGAAAAATTTCCAAATTTGGTTTTGTGCATTGAATCAAAATCTAATGAGACAGAAAAAATATTATAAATCTAAACAGTTATTAATTTTCAGGTCTGCTCTGAAATATTACTTGTTCCACCTGACTTATTTTAATCAATTTAAATCTTAAAAATAATTGCCTGTATGCACACTAAAGTGTTAAAAACAAAGCCCTGTAGCAAAATAAACATATCAATGCATAAAATCACAAAAATTTAAACACAATTAGAACAAATTACACCAAACGTTTTTAATTTCAGCAAATACAAGTTCTTCTATTCACTCTTTGATGCACGATTTCATTAATTAATTGAAGTTTTATTGACACAGCTCAAAGATAACAATCAACAATAAATAACACATAACGTGGTGTGCCGAGTGGAAGCTTGATCTTTTGTTATTATGATTTCTACTTCTAACTGAACATGAACATAGAACATTAGCACCTTGGTGTTAAATTGAACTCGGCTGGTTTTTATTGATAGTTTCAATTCTGTCTCATGTTTTAAACATACAATATCCACTAGGAATAAGATGTTACTTCTGTTCTCTATTCAGTCTACAGTCTAAACATAGCTATTTTATCATTTCGTCACCTTGGACCACTGATCTTTATTATTTTAACGTCCGATGGTAAAAGCCACTGGAGACTATCATATTATAACAATATAGTTTTTACTATTGTTAGTGTTTCTGTAAAATCAATCTATACAACAACAATAGAATTCCTAGAAATGGCAATATTGTGTTTCTGCCTGCAGCTATAAGACAAGAGTGCTAGTGTAAAAAAAGGTTCTGTGATAAAATTCGAGACATTGATATTATCATTATGAAGGGCCAGAATCCAGAGGCAATTTAACGTTCTCAAGAAAACAATCCACTACGTTAAAAAGAAGTTTAGTTAATTAAACTGCTAATGATATGGTTTAATACCAGAGTAAAATGTCTGCCAGCGAGAGCCAGTAATGATCTTTACATTGTTTGACAAAATCTCAAGGATCTCGAAGATCATTTCGGGAAACATGTGACATGCCAGTCCAGGTCAGAGACTGAATGAAATATGTTCTTTGTCTCTTAGCTACACTTGATAAAATTAGCTGAAATCTCCATTGATTCTCTGATAACTGAGGAAATATCAATTCAAAATGAAAATTAAATCAAGCCACTGAGAAGAAAAATGAATTTAAACAAAAAATCAATCATCAAAAACTTATTACATTTATTTATTGTTTTACAGGATGTGTTTGAGATTTGAAGCTTCCTTTTGGCCTTTCAATTATTTTACCAAATGCATAAAGATGTGCCAGAAAGAAAAGGATACTGCAGTTTTCATAAAAAGAATGAAAAAAATTTGAGTGTAGCCCAAGGGAAATACAAGAATTTCTGTCAATTTAGCATTTAGTATTGTTCCTATGGATAGCAGATTAACACAATATCAATAATTCACCACCAACTAAACCATTTGTTGAATAAAACAATTCTGGATCATATTTCAAAATAATTGCACATTTTTGTGTCTTTTCCAATTATCATATCAGGTTTCTAAAATCTGATAGTATCAAAGCTCGTTTAATATTTTAACTCAAATATGATGATTCACAAGCAATTACTGGAGAAGTGGTGGTATCCTCCAGAAAATTCCCATACTCTCGTGGCATAAATCTTATCGCAAATAATACCCAACTAAAATACCTCAATATTCTAGGCCACAAAGGAAACAAAGAATACTTAATTTAAAATCTTTCCACCTTTTTGAGTCGCGGCACATCAACTCAAGACAAATACTGCTATCAAATTCCTATTGTAGCCTGCAACTCATTGCAGACTGATGATTAAGAAAGGCATAATGACTCCCTCAGGTCCCATCTTGAATTTTTAATTCTAAAATACATTATATTCCCCGTTTTCAGACACTCAATGGTGTTGAAGAAAAAACTAAGTGCTCTCAGTTTTCTTTCCGCTTCAGTAAGCTCATGATGAAGATAAATGCAATTTCATTGTCTTAAGGAATTTTATTAATTTCATGCCTTCATTCTAGAGAGAGGTGGAATTATGGTGAAGCCAATGAAAAATGGTTTCTAAATGGTTACTCTGTTTTGATTGATTTCAATAAAATTTGACAATTTCACAATAAATCAAGAAAAACATTTCATGCACACTTTTAATGCAAGAGAAATTTTGAAAAGTTTGTCATTTGAGGATTGATATCTAGTTAAAGAGTTGTCTCTTCTCAAATTTTGGAAATTGAATTTGTTTTTCGAGAATTTCACACAAAATGGCAGTCATGTTGTTTCACTCTATCAAAGGTTTGTATTGCATGGCAACTGTTGTCCACACTGTTTGAAGAATTCTCAATATAATTATGAAAGTTAATTAATCCTTTAAACAATTATTATCTTCAAAACAAAAGAGCGACAGAGAGGAAAGATAATCTAGTGAAATAGTGAGTCACAAAGCGAAACCAATGATTGCTGTTAATTTTCAACTTGTTCAGGCTACTGAGTCACATTAGCCTTTCCGGTATTCCACAATGGTGGCCACCAGACTTTCAAATTATGACAAGTTGACAAGTGAAGTGTATCAAAATTGCGGTGAATGTTAAAGAAATTCTATTATGATGGGATTTTTTAATAAAAGGGCAGAATTTAGTTGCATTATTTGTTGTCACTTCATCTGTCACAATTACACCTTTAAGCTGAAGAGTTCCACAAGAATTTCCAGCATGGATTAGGGAATAGTAATTTATAGTCAAACCATGCTTTATTACACTTCAATTCTGTCACGATTAATCCTTCAGGCACAATGAGCAAAGCCTTATTTTACCAAAAAAATATTTCAGAAATTTGCACTTCTACAATAGGAAGTTAATTTGGAAGAAATTTTAGGTCAGTTTTGACATGTGAAGAAATTAAGGATATTTTGGAAAAATTCAGGTCAATTTTTGACAAGAGTTTGACAGACGACAGTATCATGATAAGGTTGTCACTGGAATTAATTTTTACAGACAAGTTAATGAAATATGACGGAAAAGTGGGATTTATTTCAGACTTGGCACCATGAAACTTTGTCAAGAGTGTTTAAAATAGCTTTAGTCATACAGCAGCTATCAGAATACAGAATGGAATTATTATTCTTAATAAGGTCAAACCAGTGCAAAATTTGATGAAAAACTGACATTATGAATGCATTATTCAGATTTAACATTTGACAAAATGACATTTTTTATTTCATAATGTAAATTTGTTGCTAATTGAATTTTTGACACCTTTTCATGAATTGCAAATTCCTTGATTTCTCACAGTCGAAAAGAGACACAGATTTAAATTTTAAATCTTCATAAAGACACCTGCTTTGGACATCTCAAATATTAAGACTAACTACATAGTTGAAAAGTTAAAAAACCTACTAAAAGCTATTTAAAACAACAAATAGATAAAAAAATCTTAATTCAACACACCGACTACGAAAAGTTTACTCCAAGCACCAAGACCAGAATTAGTTCTAGCAGCAATACGTATCCTGTATGTTTTCTCAGCATCAATATGTGGAATATGAGCACTCAGAGTGGTACCATTAGACCGGACACTACAATTCTGTTTCTTGTCATCATCCATACAATAGATCTGAAATAATACAATATCTTTTATAGTACCATAGAAAGGAAAAAGTAACTTGGACATTAAAAATTTTGACAGGATTGTCTGAGTTGGCAGAGGAATTAGTCATTAGTACCACAATTTTCTTGAACATGAAGTGACAGTTCAAGATCTCTTGTGCAATATTTTCTTTCATGTTTTGTACACATTGTCTAATTTCCAAGTTGCATATTGACTGATGTATCTATGTCAATAAGGATAATAAAAACTTACCTCATATGCTATAATATTACCAT